CAGTAATGTAACCTATTTTTTCATTCAAGCACTGCAGGCTTCATTTCATAAAAAAAAAAATTGTGATTCTACTATATATGCTATCCAAATGTTAAAATTCTCTAACAAAAATAAAAATCTTGGTGATAGAAAGTGTACAGAATTAAGCTCTGAACAAAATTAAATAAAAAATAGATGTTAAATTATAAATAATAATATTTATTGCTGTTCACTGTTATAAGTGGAATCATTCACATAAAAAAATTCTATCATTACTTACACTACTGTTCAAAAGTTAAGGAATGGCAAGATTTTTTTTAAACAAAATTTTTTATTCAGCAAGGATGCATTAAATTAATCAAAAGTGACAGGAAAAAAATTCTATTTAAAATAAATGCTGTTCATTTGAACTTTATATTAATAAAAAATAATATATATTTTTAAATGTATCACAATTTCCACTAAAATATTACGCAGCATAGTTTTCATCTTTGATAATAATAATAATAATAAACGTTTCTTAAGCAAATCAGCATATTAGAATGATAATGAGTAATGATGTTGAAAATTCAGCTTTGCATCACAAGTATAAAATACATTCAAATAGAAAACAGATACTTTAAATTGTAATAATATTTCACAATATTACTGTTTTTACTGTATTTCCGATCAAATAAATGCTGCCTTGGTCAGCAAAGGAGCCTTCTTTTAAAAATATAAAAAAATATTACCAACTCCAAAATTTTCAAACAGTTATTTTGACACAAAAGCACAATGTTTTAAACATTTTCACGCAGCTCTTTTCCATATAGTAACAGTTCCTACTGATAATGTCATACCTGTACGGGCCGATAGACGTTGATTAAATGCAGCAGAGGTTTCTGAATCTGGCTCAGGACTTTAGAGAAGAACAGCATCACTTGTTTACTCATGCCAGGAGGATACTGCACAAAGAAGCAATATTTCAGTTCATTTACAGCTTTGAATAGCTTTAATCTCTGTCTTGAGTCTGTGTTTTCATACCTGTGCTTTTCCCAGCGTGCAAAGAGTCTCTAGTAATTTGTGCTGGAGCAGGTACTCCATGCAGGGACCCGTTTCCTCTCCTTGCTGTGTCTCCTCAAACACCAGGATGTCCAGCATCTGTCTGAGCCGCCATGGGATGTCTGTCTGCTTCACTGGACGAGACTCATCTTTGTGCATGAGACAAACATACAACTGAAACTTTCTTTTCATTTCCTCTTTTTTTTCCCTAAGGTATGGCATAATTACATTTTTTGTGTTATAATCTCAAACACAAAGTAAATTATTGCTTAACGTGAATCTACACTTGTAGTTTTACCTGTTGTTTCTATGTAATAGTTGGTTATTGCTTTCCAGTGATCCACAAAAGAGTCCAGCAGGTTTATCGAAGGCTCGGTCTGTAAGAATCAGAACAGAATCAACAGTATTTTACTGCAGTTACACTTTCATTACTATTATTAATTCTATATGATTATTAATATCAACACTGAGTTCCTATAAATGCAAAATTCTTCACTGTGAAACATAAAGGTAGTCCTGAGTAATAAGCAGAAAACAAGGCTAAATTCATAGAAAATATTCATATTTATATATTTATATTTTATATACACTACTGTTGAAATGTTTATCATTTTTATATATAATGCAATAATGTGTACAAATAATTGTTTTGCCACTTGGTTTATTTTATAATGGCAAGGCATTTTAGGTGTGGTTTAGGTCTTCAAATATTTTATGTATGTTTATGGAGATATATATTTTTTTTTTTTGGGTGGTTTTAAGTACATTCTTTCCTCTTCCTGTCAGAAACTTGTCCAGACCTGCTCATTTTTCCACCTTCCACGTGAACAAACTCTCAAATGACAAACCCAACAGTGTGAGGTCAATAAAAAAACACACACATATCCTTCAATATTTATAAAAATCGCATCTATGGACTTAATAAACAATAAAAGACAGTAAACCAACGCAATCTAGTGTTTAGTGCACTATGTGTTCAACCACTGTAGCACAAAAGCTAAAGACACTGTATACATCTTCATACAAAGCACTGAACTACATGACAACACGCTGGCAGTCATTTTAATCGCATATTTCGTTCATATACAGCCGTCATATACGTCTGTAGCATTTCAATAAAGTTTCACTGTATCATGCAACAGGTTTCAGTCTCTTGAGTTGTTCTACATTAGCTAGGCTAAGCTAACAGGCTAGTTTGAAGACATTCAGAAGTCAGTGTTTACTCACTGTTTCCAAGGCCTGCTGCAGAAAAGCCGTCACTTTATTAAACATGTCCATGGCTGACCTTATCAAATTCTGTGTGAGGTCTGGGACATCCTTATATCCATTATATAGCGCTGGTGTAGTTTGTAAACATTGTTTATGTGGCTGCTGAGCTTGAGCGACTGGATCTGCCTGCAGTAGCGATAGTGAACACTACTGACAAGACAGCGCACACTACAGAGTAGACTGGGAAATATCACAAAAAATAAACATTCACTTTTCAATTTATGCAGCATTTATCTCCATATCTCAACGTTATCAAGTGCACCGCAGAAAATGTTTTGAAATAGACTTGATAAACACCATAACACTAACAACATAAGGTACCTAATTTAGATTTAATGAGGGTTTTAATGAAATTTCATAATGTGGACCGTTACTCTTGTGGAAAATAAGTGTACTTAATTGTGTTGAGTGTACATTTGTAGCGTACTTCAAATTTTAAAAATATATTAGTAAAATATTAGTACTTTTAGAATACACTTTAATGGCTGCTTTTTTTCTAACTAGTAAGCTTATTGTTCACAGTGTATACAGTGTGTAGTTTTGGCAAAATAAAATAACTTAATCAATAAAATGTGCGTCATAATTATGTAAATACATGAACGTTATTCAGAACAATATTGTAAATTGTACTAGCTTGCTTTTTTATCTAGATATGATAGATATCATCTGTTACTGTAATGTTAGCTAGTGTTTGGCAAATCAGTTGAGCAAGAATCAGAGATGATAGCGCACGTACGTCTGCAAGATGTCTGTTAAAGAGCGCTTCATCTGGAAAGCGTCTGCTGTGTACAAACATCTGATAGATAGGCCTATAAGATGTCAGTTTTACAAACATTCTAAATCATAAACATATTAAAGACATCTTCTGGACGTCTATTTGACATCTGATAGGAGACGTCCTATACTGCAGATGAACAAACACACTAAAAGTCTTGCAGATGTATGCAGACGTCAAACAGACGTCTCCGTTATGTACGTGTGCTATCAGCTTTCTACACCTCAGTAGTGTTGTCAGAAATATCGATTTTTCGATATTTATCGATACTGAAATATATAATACTTGTTTTTGTTTTTTCGCAGCATCGATACACCGATACCAGCTGCGCTTTTTCTCTCTCTTTTGTATATTTGATAAAACAAATTGAGTCCCCTAGTCCATTTTGAGCCCAAGCACACATTTCCCATTAATGACCCAACTAGGAACCACATGGGGAGCCCACCTGAGTTCACCCATGTGGGTCCTAGCGGGGGTCACCCAAGTGGGCCCCAGATAAGATGCCCATTTTGAGCCCATGCCCACTCTGTACCCCTGTAGCCCATGTGTAACCCCATGTGGGCCCCACATTAACATGTTTGCTGGGTTCTCTCTGACAGTGAGTTCACACACACCACAGTGTATTGAGAAGCATTTGTAAACCTGTTGTCCAACAAAATACACATTTAATAACATATTTTTACGCCAAACTCACTTCATAACGTCAGTCAAGTGTTTGAAATAATTTCCTTTTGTGCTCTGATGTGGCTTCTTAGCATAAAATGAGGCTGAAAATATATATTATTTTATATATTCTACTGCAACACATGCTATGTCATTTAGCATTACATTATAAATCGACTTTACTTTAAATTTTAATTCCCTCTAAATAAATTTGAATGAAACTATGCAAGTCCATAAGTTTTTCTCCAGCGTTTTACTTCAAAAAGTTTTCTTTAATGTAAAAATATACCTTACTGTCATGATCTAGCCTTGTTTTATTTAGGCTATCTTTCAATAAAAACCTAATATTTTATGCCCCTAATGTTGTAGCAGTTTTTCCTAGTGGTATCAAAATATGGTATTGAATATCAGTATTTTTCAATGTATTGTAGAAATTCCAGTATCGTGACAACACTATAAATCAGTTAATCACTCTGTCCAAATGAATATGTTAGCCTTGTAGCACATTGGCTAACAGCTTACATAGATGATAGACAAATAAAACACAGTCAACAAGAAATTTAATTGAAATGCCAGACAAAAGCCCAAAGAACATATAAGCTATAAAAACCAACCTGAAATAGTAGACCATCCGGGGACTTTTGGCATACTCTTTTCAACATAGGCTATGCTTTGGGACACACTTATTCTAATCTCACATACTATGTAGGATTAATAGTATGAACTTTGGGAGGCAGAGCGAGTTTTAAAGGCAATAAGTAATTGTGTGAGTAAAAAAAGTCCTACTTAAGTGTGTTAAAAAGCACGCTTAATTAGAAGTATTTAAAATGAGTGTCAACAAATACATTTTCATCTAATTGCAATTGCCAGAAAACATTGCGTTCAGTTCACGCTTTTGAAGTATGTTCTTTTAAAGTATATTATTTCCATAATAAGTACTCTTTTTGAAAGTATGTTAGTGTACATCAATCCAAGAAGCTTTAAAATGGTCAGCCGAGTTTAACTTGTCAATCTATATTCCTTTAACAGTAGAGATCCCCACTGTTCCTGTTGAATGAAATCATCAGAACGCACTTGTGTTGTTTCTTTTGGCCGCATTGTGGCAACCATAAATGATCAAATGTGATACCATTTTACATCACAGAACATTAAAATGCAAACTCTTGCTGTTTTGCACTACAGACAGGATGCTAACAGCATTGTTTGACATCCTCAGAATGATTCTAGAGAAAACAAGCAGGAAAGAAGAACAAGATTCATAGCTTTATCCAGCATTACTTTATTTATTGTACAAATATGTTCATCAGTGGTGTTTTTGTTCTCCACAGTTATCTTTTGTACAGCAATGTTAGGCCATCCTTGTCTTAACCAAGCTACCAAACTATACAGAAAAAGCTTTCCTGAAGTGAGTGGGATCAATACCAGCAAAATCTCTTCAGCTGTAAAGACAAATCAATGCTTCATAAAAACATGGATACAAAAATATGGTTAAGGCACATCATTAGAAAAGCTCAACACTTAATATACTGCATGTGCATTGGAATAAAAAAAGTATAAATTGATAAATTACCACAGATTTGTGAGTCTTGTGAAAATAAAAAAAAGAAAGAGGTAATTACTTTTCAACAATCAATGATCAGTTACTGATCTTCACACTGACGATTCCTGATTTTGACCATGACAATGCCTTCCTGAAAACCGCAAACACAGTTTAGGACGGGTTCAAAACAGTGCAAAGTGATTTACATAAGGATAAATACTGTGCTATGATGATAAACATAAAACTCCACTTCATTTAAATGTGCCACTCTCTAGACATAGAAATGTACATCAGCATCATCTCAATAGATATTTACAAATGTAAAATGTTTTGCAGTTGCTCCCTAACAATCTTGCAACCCTGTGTGTGAAGATGAATGCTTGCCTATGGACAGAATATGCTGATAAAGAGTTTGTGTGATCTTGTGTTATCTTCTTAAACGTACCAAGAACCCCCCAAAAAAGAACAAAAAACTTTACAAATCTAAATCACTGCATGATCCACATGCTTGGAAAGAATATTATTTTCAGTGCAATATTATATTGACAATATGAGGGGAATGTGGGAGAGTCTTCTCTTGATGTCAACCTGAAGCTTTGGTTTCCCACTCCTACAAACACAATCAGAAAGAGGTTAAGGGTCATAGTGGTGTTAGTTTACTATTATATACAGTACTATAATACTTTTTAGAAATATTTTGAATTAGGTTTTTTTTTCAGTTGTAATTTTACCTTTACTTTCAATTCTAAATAATTGAATAATAAATTAATAATAATGCTTTTTCGACTACGTCTGGAAGTGGTCAGAAGTACATGAACTCAAAATGTTTCAGTCCCCGTTTACACCTGTATTCAGTGTTGTCCACTTGTGATCAGATTGAAAAAACACATCTTAATTCCAGGTGTAAACAGGGCCTTAATCATTAGTTTGATTTCTACTGTGGAATACAAAAGAAAACATTTTTGAGAGTGTTTTAACTGTTTGTCCGTTTAATAAAGTCAAAGTCAGCTTCATTAAGAGTTCATCTACTGAGTCATCTGGAAATCCAATACAATCATAAATTCATGAGGTAGTCTGTTCATTGTGCTCATGCTGAAGGAATCTTACCGTCCTCCTCTGGAAGACCCTGCCATGCTCCATAAACAGGGCAGATGGAGCTTTCTTTAGGGTGCTTTTTGCCGAGGCAGTTCTTCTCAAGAGTGGGGTCAGAAAGCCCCCCTTTAAGAGACAAAACCAGACGTGAGTGTTCAAGAGTGAGTATGTGTTATTTCCTTTTATAGGATGAAATGGTGAAATATCCTAAATGACTCAGACAAGAGTCACAGCCACACATTTCAAAAGTCATCAGACTCCTCCAGTGAGTCCACTCATCATTGCTTGATGAAGTAGGGTGTAATGGTGGGTTAAAACAGCTCTTATCTGAGCTTTATTCTCGGCTCCTCTGGGAGGAAGTGGCTCCCAATCCAACCCACTGTAATTACTGAACTCACAACGGCAGCAACAACCGACAAACAAAGCATCAAAGAGGACAAGTAACCAAGAATCTTTTCATTTGGAATAAAATGCGGAAGATATTGAAAAATACTGAAATGAACTAAAAATGACCTAAATCAAAATAATCTCTTCTTTGTCTCGTGTAATTGATCGTGCAAATCAACATTTGCTTGTTGCAAAGTGTTGCAGTTACACAATCCAAACAACAGGTGGCAGTGTAATAACAAAACTTCAGCGGTTCAGTCATCTACTGACACACAACTGACACTTTAAACTGCTCTTATCAGCCCTTACAAAATACTATGGTATTACCATGTTTTTTGCCATGTACCAAGATTACCGTGGTAATATCATTAAGTAAAACTAAAGCCATAAAAAATGTGTTACTTGAAATAAAATAAATGTTAATACACTGCTCCGGGTGTGTGTTCGCTGCTGTGTGTGTGCACTTGGATGGGTTAAATGCAGAGCACAAATTCCGAGTATGGGACACCATACTTGGCCACACGTCACGTGACTTTCACTTTCACTGAAACTTATTTCATTTCAGCTAGTTGCTAAGGCAATAGTTCTCATTTTTATTTAGTTAGGGTTAGGGTTAACTTGATGTACTAAGATAACTAAAACTGAAATAAAAATGAATAAAAAACTATAAAGACGGGTAAAAAAAATTGTAAAGGCAATGTAAATAATGTGATATAATATTAAAGTGCCACAGTATTATAATCTGATATTATCACAATCTTATACAATCTTTTATTGTAAGGGAAGGATGAGTCGGAGGGTAGTTACCTGTGCTCGCTCGGTGCAGAAAGCGAGGGAGCGTCTGAAGGAATACCGTTTGGCTGGCTTCGTCCCCACGCTCACGAGGTTGACCTCTGACCCCGCTCGCAACTGCACTCGTCTTTTTCCTGTCAGGTCCAGCTTCTGCACACCCCTCTCAATCTCAAACAGTTTTGTACCTAAAAACACATATAATATACACTACCAATCACCTATGATTTCTGAAGTCTCTCATGCACCAAGGCTGCATTTATTTGATCAAAAATACAGCAAAAACAGTAATACTGTGAAATATTATCGCATTAACTTTAAATAACGTTTCTATTTGAATATATTTTAAAATGTAATTTATTCCTGTGATGTCAAAGCTGTATTTTCAGCATCATTACTCCAGTCTTCAGTGTCACATGATCCTTCAGAAATCAGTATAATGTGCTGATTTGTTGTTCAAGAAACATTTCTTCTGCCTTATTATTATCGTGATGCATTTTTTTTTAGGATTGTTTGATGAACAGAAAGTTAAATTAATTCAAAATTATTTGATATATAAATCTTTTTTAACATTATAAACGTTTTTACCGTCACTTTCGATCGATTTAATTAATAAAAAAAATAAAAGAATAAAAATGTTGAACTGTACTGTATGCAATTTTTTTTTGTATAAAAGCCAACCACTGATATTAACTTGTAAGCTGAATTTTTTGTGTGTGTAGTTTCCAATTAAGCTGTAATCACTGTACATCATTTGAGATGACAATGTGTGGAAATCTTCATGACTTTGAGAAAAAAAAAAAGAAAAAAAGAACGGAATTCCCCTCTAATGCATGTGTGTCCACTGTTGGACATTGTGAATAGGCATATTAAAATAGTTTAAGAATGAAAAGTGTTTTAAGAGAGTTTATTTGATTTTTCATGGGTTTGTGGATGTTGATTCACTTTTCTACTTTTCACCCTCTCTTAATCTCCCTGAATAGAGCATGTTCTGGAAAGTTGGGTTCAAAAAGAAAACATGATATTCTCATGGTTTTGACTGAAGAGTCTTAGAGGATGTGTGTGTGTGTGTGTGTGTGTGTGTGTGTGCGCGTGCGTGCGTGCGTGTGTGCCTGTGTGTACACCACAAGGCTACATCCCTGCACTGCTTCCAAAACCACACTGGAGAAAAAAGCGCCAGCCGCCGCTGATCCCTACCAAAATGGGAGCAAGAGTGTGTTGCCCTCCTCTGCTGAGACAGTCCAGAAACACAAAGAGTCTAAACCTCACCTCACATGCCCTATAGTACACAAGACTATAAAACACACGCTCACACGCTGACGCTTTCTTACTAAACACAGCTCATACACTAGCATTCAAAAGTTTAAGGGTCAGTAAAAACTAAGTGTTTTTTACAGAAATTAACACAGCAAGGATGCATTACATCAACAGTAAAGACATTTATAAAGTTTCTATTTCAAATAAAATATGTTCTTTTAAACTTTCTATTCATCAAACAATCCTGAAATTTGTTTTTATCACAGTTTCCACAAAAATATAAGCAGCACAACTGTATTCAACATTGATGATAATAATAATAACCGTTTCTTGAGCAGCAAATCAAAATATCAGAATGATTTCTGAAGGATCATGTGACACTGAAGACCAGAGTAATGATGCTGAAAATTCAGCTTTGATCACAGGAATAAATTACATTTTTGTTGTTTTAAACTGTAATTGTATTGCAGTAATATTTCACTATATTACTGTTTTGATGTATTTGGACCAAATAAATGTAGCCTTGGTAAGCACTCATTCCTTCATTAAAATATCTTACCAACCCCAAATTTTTAAATAGTAGTATATGTCGACTACATTGGATTTCCCTCCTAAACTCATTTCCACAGTTAAAATACATATCCTTAAATGCCCTACTGACGGCACTAGGCCGCTTCTTAATCGATCCTAGCATAAATATAATTTTGCATGGCACTTTGTGGTAAATATTTCCATGATAAATACGATCAAATATCTCCACTGACCATCACCACACACGCTTGGCACAGATGGTATTTCCTGCTAAATTGCATTTGACAAACCTGATGAGAAAAACAGCACCGAAAACAGATCCATAATCATGATCAAATACATCAAAATCATTAGAAACACCACATCGTGTCAGTTTGTGTACGAAAACATCAGAGCATCTAAACATTGCCTAAGAGTGTAATATTATAGTGTGTTATTTAGGTCACACTGGCCTTATTAAGCAAATAAAACATGCGAAAAGGCACGTCGGCACAAAATGATGCTCTGCGATGTTATGCAAATCCATAAACCAAGAGCATGGAAAGTTGCACTTAGCCACTATATAATTATTTAGCACTGTTCAAATTAAAAGCAGATACCCCTGAATTGTCAAGTATTTGCTGTGGATAAGGGAGTGATGGTTAGGAAAGCCGTATGTATTTCTTAATCATATGTTTTGAGCTCAAGAGGGAAATTTATGTTTGGTCACAGGAGCGGCCGGTCCTATAGGCGATATAGGTGGTCAACTTCCAACGACCATTTGCATCTCTCATTTTATTGAACAAATGCATTACTGTATTCCCAAAGATTTTATGAGAAAATATAATGAGCTGGAAAGACTGATGATATGATGATGCTGATCTGCTTAAGCCTTAAGGCAATGAGGTTAGAGTGGATTCAAAATTCCCATGAAAGCAAAAGGAGTTTTAAAATGACTTTTACAAGCAAGTTGGTGACAGAGTGAGTGGTACCAGGCAATGAGGGCAGAAAATGGGATGAAATGAGAGAGAACTATAAATGTACAGTATATTTTGATCTTAATGCGTTTCCTTTCTTAAAAAGTGCAACTCAAGTTTAGTGACTGGGGTAATATGACTGACTCACTGTGGTTGCTGAAGATTTCATTATTGCTGTAGCTGGCAGAATCCTTGGATGACACCAATTCTCCGTTTCCACCAGTGTAAGGTTTCTCAAACTGAAAAATGGATGGAACAGATGTATAAGTTATAAGTAATGCTAGTTTGTCAGAGTAGCAATGAACAATGACTGTCCATGAATTCAAAACAAGTCAACGTAAAATCAAAATTGACTCTATTTACAGTACTATCATAATGTACATCCATACTGTGAAAAATTAATCAGTGCATGTATTTTAAAAATGTTTGTCGTTGTAATCTTTCACCAAAATGTGATAACTTGCTCTGAAACCTTTTTTATTTTTGGCTGATGTCACTAATCTTTTATTTTTCAGCCCAACACCTGCAGCCTCAAATATTGTCTTGTTATGACCAATAACCTCCAAATGGCATTCATTCAATTTCTATTAAATTTTGTTGAAATAAATAACAATAACAAAAGTTGAAACTATTGAAAATATTGAATATAAATAAAAAAGTCATATTCTGATCACCAACATGGCACCAATTGTGTTTCCCACATATACTATACTTCCAAAGTTTGGGTTTACTGTAATGTTTTTGAATGAAGTCTCTTCACCAATTCTTTATTTGTCTGATGAAAAATACAGTAAAACTGTAATACTGTTTTCTATTTGAATATATTTAAAATGTATTCCTGTGATGCAAAGCTGAATTTTCAGCATCATTACTCCAGTCTTCAGTGTCACATGATCCTTACGGAAATAATAATAATAATATGCTTGAAAACAGTTGTGCTGCTACATTTTTTTGTGGAAACTATGATATTAATGAATAGAAACATTCAGTTCAAAAGAATCTGAATTGAATCTGAAATTGAAATCTTTTGTAACATTATAAATATCTTTACTGTCACTTTTGATCAAAATAATCAATTGAACATATCCTTGCTGAATAAAATTATTAATTTCTTTCAAATAAAATCTTTCTTACCCCAAACGTTTGAATGGCAGTGTACAACTAAATTTATTGTGTTGATTTAAAATAGCCTGACAAGTAAATAATAACTAGTGATATGTAACTTAAATAAACTGTAAACAAAACCAAACAGCTTGCTTAAATCAAAGAATTAATATTGTTTTCAACTGGTTACACAGGTCAAATACACTTCATTCTGCTGGACCGTACCATGTGCTCCAGTATAGAGGAGTTTGAATAGATGGGCTGCGAGTGGACTGATGGACCACACAGCTGCTGAAAGGGGTCATCCATGTACATGTTTGAGGTGGGACACCTGTGGCTTTTCAGACCACTGAGAAACAGAGGAAACAGAAGAATGGAAAGAGGATGCGGAAAGAATGTGAGTATTTCTGTGAGTGTGTGTGCAGTTCAGTGATTCATGCTCGGTTCATATGGAATACTTGCAGCAGACAGACAGCATGTGAATGTGTGTGTGTGTGTGCGTACCTCAGTGACTCGTGGCTGGTGTGTTGATATGGAGAACTCCCATCCTGCAGGAGCTGAACCCACTGCTCTTTATCATCTGCGCAACTCGCCTGCACATTCACACACAAAAAATAACATCTACAGTCAATCAAAATATAGTGACAACAGGTCAACACGACAAAAAATCATATGTATCATCATGTATCACCTTAATGATACCAAAATAATGCTGGGTACCAATATGGTACCATGACAAAAAAAATGAATGAAAGCACTATTGTACTTTTTGGTATTGTTTGGAATGTGATGTCTAAAAAAACATTGTATTACCACAACATCACAATTCAAAAAATCATGGTAATACCATGGTATGTGTAGAAAAACATGGCATTACCAAGGTACCATGTGCACAATAAAGAAAATACTGCATGCCAATAAAGAAAATGTTTGCCTAAAATGATGTAAAGGCAGTAAAAGACGTTTTAAGAAATAATATCCTAACGTTTCAACCCTTCAATCTGATCGATTTCATTCATGCCAATGGATACCCAACATTTACTACACAGCGTTTTGATTGTTAACGAAAGTTTTTGGTAACACTTTACTTGAAGGGGTGTGCATAAGACTGACATGACACCTTCATAATCATGACATGACACATGTCATGAATATGAAGGAGGTTTTATGCATGTTTATGACAACTGTCATTAAGTGTCATTCACTCAGTTATGTCATTTTTAATGCAAATATGACATTATTTGACCTAACCCTAACCTAACCCTACCCCTACCCTTACCCGTAACCATAGCCCATAACAAAGACATCTCAAACAATGTCATCTTTGCATTAAAAATTACAATGAATGACACTTAATGTCAGTTGTCATAAACATGCATAAAAAACCTTCATATTCATGACATGTGTCATGTCATGATTATCTAGGTGTCATGTCAGTCTTATGCACACCCCTTCAAGTAAAGTGTAACCAAGTTTTTAAATTGAATTTGAAATAAAATAAAATATAAATATTAGATAAAAAAAAAAAATGTAACACCTAAATAAATTAAACTTAACCAAAAATTGGAAATGATGCCTTGGCAACTAACTGAAAATAGGGTTAAGCTGAAGTACTATAATGACAAAAAAAAAAAAAAGTGAAGCTTAATAGAAATATTAAAAAAAAAGTAAAAAAACAAAAAAACAAAACTATTAAAACTTGAAACTTACACTGTAAAATTGAAGGGGGTCTGAATACTTTCCGTACCCACTGTAAATAATATTAAAATTACACTTCCTACTCCATAACAAAAAAAGAAACCTAAAAATAGTAAAAATCTGGTAAAAAAAAAAAAACTGGTTTTAAGACAAAAATATTATTTCACTGAACATCACTGAACCAATACAATAATTTAACAACAAAACTATTTTTAGAGATAATTCTTTAAGGTAACAGTTGCAGGTTACCAGTTTTTAACTGTGCAGCTTCTCTAAATCACATCACAGAGCTCCACGAGCGGTAAGCGGGTCTCGAATCATTACCGTACCTCTAGTACAGCCATCTGGTCCCCGTGCTGTGTGATGGTAATGCGGTAAGCATGTGCTGTATCCGGGCCGGGTCGCACCTCACTCCCTCTGAGCTGAACCGTGTATTGAGGGGTCTCTTCTGACGCCTCGTCCCGATACATCTTCAGAACCCCGGCCTCCACCCGACACCACAGACTCTGCCACTGACAGTTCATCAGCACGTTCAGGAAGCCCGCTGAGGACAGAGAGAAACAGAAGTGTCCACATGCCTCAAAATAATCTGTGTGCTCTGTTATATTTTTGCGTAGCTTATTACGTTTCAAATTGCAACCTGGTTGGTGTGCTTAAAGTTGCAGTGCTTAATATTTACAATGTATAAATATTTTGTACAATTGCAGCTAAAAAGCAAGGACATTTCCTTACAAAAAAGTTTATTAGTGTGCTATTAGTATACTTTTAAACTTAAAATACAAGTATACTTTCAGTCTACTTTTTAATAAATCAGAGATACACTTAACAGTATTATACTTTCGTATACTTGGCTTACACTACAGAAAAGTTAATTTGGCCTATACTTTTTCTTAATCTTTTGATTGAGATACTAAGTACAAGTGTAATTTAGTATTCTAGCCTATTAAATACTTTTTTATTGGCTTCTTTGAAGTAGTACTCAGGCCTATGTTTTAAATCTTATAAACTTATAAACATGTTCAAGTTTATAGTCAGATTTTGGGTGAAATACCTTAGTGTAAATATTACATGGGTGGAAGTGAATCTGATCTTTTTTGTACACATTGCACTTAACCCACACAGAAACAGATAAACAACTGACTGGTTTTATTGATAATTATTCCAAGGTGTGAGAGAATTGTAAATTCATACTTGCTTCTCTTACAAGCCATAATCAGAATCAATACATTTTAAATCTCATCACAAAACACCAAGTCGAACAGCAAATGGAGCTAGTAATATATAAATCATAAGCATAAATCCACTGGTAGTGTAAACTGGAAGTCTACTTGAAATACAGTAAATGGTATATTTAATTATATTTAATGTATAAAAATTAGTATAAAGTATAAAGTAGGGGTGTGCGATATATATCGTCTGCGATAATATCGTAATCGTTGTTTTAACGATGTGCGATTTGACATTATCGAGTATTGTGCAAAAACCATTTGATTTCATTTGCTTGGTAACAGCCCAAATGTCTTATTATTCTAATTCCCTGATTAAATGTAAGAATTTGACCCAAAAGATAATGGACACGTCTAGAAAAAATGGCTTTATAAAGGTAAAAATGCCCATAAAATCAGTGCGAGTAGTGTGTTCACACTGAAAATTCCAAAAAGAAAAAGTTCACTTTAAATACCTGGATGATACACTTAAATAACCGAAAAAGAACAAAGTGTGGGATGTTGGACACTTCGTGCACTCAACTGTCGCAGCTTTAATTACATAGCGAAGGGGAGGGGCTACCAGACTCCGATGCTGAATGACAAAATAACCTTACATAATTTATACACTACATGCCTGAGTACATAGAGTATAGTCAGGGGCGGACTTACCCATTAGGCAAAGGTAGGCGACCGCCTTGGGCCCCCAAAAGCCAAGGGCCTAAAATGCTTTTCATATAGGAGATGCGCATTAAGCGCTGACACACAAACGGTTGCTGTTTACAGTGTTTATTACCACAACAACCGTCCGAGTCAGTGGCGCCTGCAGGTGTACGGCTGTACGCACTGTGCGTA